GAGAGAGAGAGAGAGAGAGAGAGAGAGAGAGAGAGAGAGAGAGAGAGAGAGAGAGAGAGAGAGTCCACAACAGTGGACGGCGAGAGAAGGTTAACAACATGTATAATTTTCATCATACATATATTGTATATGCAACTTATACCAGTTCTTTTTCATTGCTTATGTTTTCTTCACTCTTATTCTCAATTTTCAGGACATATTTGAAAAGTTGCGGACTTCTCATCGCCCATGTTTTTATCATCATAGTTGTTGGTTTCTTGCCTAAACAGATAACTATAAGGGTTGCTTTTATGGTCTTCGGGGCGTTCATAACTTCGGGATGCTTCATGATTTTCGGATCGCTTGAACAGATGGTCATACTAAGGGTCGTTTTCATGGTCTTTGGAACGTTTACCGCTTCGGGATGCTTCATGATTTTCGGGTTGTTTGAACAGATGGTCATAAAGGTTGCTTTCATTGTTTTCGGGACGTTCATCACTTCAGGATGCTTCATGATTTTCAGGTAATTGGAACAGATGGCCATAAGGGTTGCTTTCATGGTCTTCAGGACGTTCATCACTTCGGGAGGCTTCATGATTTTCCGGTCGCTTGAAAAGATGGACATAAGGATTGCTTTCATGGTCTTTGGGACGTTCATCACTTCGGGATGCTTCATGATTTTCGGGTAGCTTGAACAGATTGTCGTAAGGGTTGCTTTCATGGTCTTCGGGGCGTTCATCACTTCGGGATGCTTCATGATTTTTTGGTGGTTTGAACAAATGGTCATAAGAGTTGCTTTCATGAACTTCGGAACATTCATCACTTCGGGGTGCTTCATGATTTTCGGGTGGTTTGAACAGATGATAATAAAGGTTGCTTTCATGGACTTTGGGACGTTCATCACTTGGGGATGGTTCATGATTTTCGGGTAGTTGGCAAAGATGACCATAAGGGTTATTTTCATGGTGTTTGGGACGTTCATCACTTCGGGATGCTTCATGATTTTCCGGCAGTTAGAACAAATAATCATAAGGGTTGCTTTCATGGTCTTGGGGATGTTCATCACTTCGGGTTGCTTCATGATTTTCGCGTAGCTGAAACAGATGGCCATAAGGGTTGCTTTCATAGTCTTTGGGACGTTCATTACTTCGGGATGCTTCATAATTTTCACGTACTAGCTTGAATAGATAGTCATAAAGGTTGCTTTCATGGACTTCGAGACGTTCATCACTTCGGAACGTTTTATGATTTTTCGGGTAGCTTGAACAGATGGTCATAAGGGTTGCTTCCATGATCTTCGGGACGTTCATCACTTCGGGATGCTTCATGATTTTCGGGTAACTAGAACAAACGGTCATAAGGGTTGTTTTCATGGTCTTCGGGATGTTCATTACTTCGGGTTGCTTCATGATTTTCGACCAGCTTGAACAAATGACCATATAGGTTGTTTTCATGATTTTTGGAACGTTTATCACTTCGGGATGCTTCATGAATTTCGGGAAACTTGAACAGATGGTCATAAAAATTGCTTTCATGGTCTCTGGGACGTTCGTCACTTCGGGATGCTTCATAATTTTCGGGTAGCTTCGAGATGCCATAAGGGTTATTACCTGAAAATCATGAAGCATCTCGAAGTGATGAACGCCCCGAAGACCATGAAAGCAATTTTTACGGCCATCTGTTCAAAATACCCAAAAATCATGAAGTGTCCCGAAGTGATGAACGTCTTGAAGACCAGGAAAACACCCTTATGATCATTTTCAGATAGCTTGAACAAATGACCATAAGGGTTGCTTTCATGGACTTCGGGACGTTCATCGGTTCGGGATGCTTCATGATTTTCAAGTAGCTTGAACAGATGACCATAAGGGTTGCTTTCGTGATCTTCGGAACGTTCATCACTTTGGGATGCTTCGTGGTTTTCGGAGAGTTAGAACCGATGGTCATAAGGGTTGCTTTCATGGTCTTCGGGATGTTCATCACTTCGGGTTGCTTCATAATTTTCGGGTAGTTGGCACAGATGACCATAAGGGTTATTTTCATGGTGTTTGGGACGTTCATCACTTCGGAATGTTTCATGATTTTCGGATAGTTTGAACAGATAGTCATAAAGATTGCTTGCATGGTCTTCGAGATGTTCGTTACTTCGGGATGTTTCATGATTTTCAAGTAGCTTCGGGATGCCATAAGGGTTGCTACCAGAATATCATGAAGCATCTCGAAGTGATGAACGTCCCGAAGACCATGAAAGCAACCCTTATGGCCATCTGTTCAAAATACTCAAAAATCATGAAGCGTCCCGAAGTGATGAACGTCTTGAAGACCATGAAAGCAACTCTTATGACCATTTGTTCA